TGCCTCAGGCTTTCCGTTTTGACATTTCTCGACTTGTTTAATATAAGTCTATAATAATGAACTGACAACAAATGTACAGTTCTATATAAAGCTTTCAACCAAGAACCAATCTCTTTAAATGAAAACAATTTTCTCGGTCAAATATCTGTACTCCTGCGGTAACATCTTGTCCAGTCCACACAAATCACAAATTCTCTTATTATGCGACATACAAATCAAGTTGTTGACAAAATAGGAAATTACTTTACTGACGTCAATGTTAAACACAAAATCAATACAAGTACCTCTCATAATAGAGGACAGTATATCCAGCAGTCACAGAACCAAAAGATTAAAATTACACAAAAACAAATATATTTTTATGATGTAAAATTGTTCATACATTTACTGAAGTTTATGACCATAATAATAAATAGTAAATTTGTATTTACCTAATTTGATAACATGTAAATGTATTGCTACAGTCAGTAAAAATATGTCACTTGCCCAAGTCTTAGCCTGTTCATCTACCCATGTGACCCATACAGAACAAGATCAGCCAACACATCTATGCCATCTAATCATGGTCGGCACTATTTGCTATTCAGTCAGTATATATTTTGAAAAATTACCTAAATATTTTAAATTGTTTTTGTCTAAAACTGATAATTGGTTTTGTCTGGATTGAAAGATGGAAAAGTCCATTTAAGATATAATACCACGGTAAAGGTTAAAGTGAATACAGAAAAGAATTGAAATCAACCGTTGATTTAGAAAAAAAAAATTGATACCATTATCAGTACCATCAAAGTAAACTTTTTTTTCATATAATTTGTTTTATGACATACTCATACAACTTGACCAATTAATGTAAATAAAACCATTGATCAGATACAGCATTCAAAAACAAAACAGCATGGAAGATAAAGGCAAATATTTATTCTCTATCTGTATAAATATTGATCAAATATCAAAGTAATTTTCTGGTACTTATTCCTCCCTATTTCTCTAACAAACACCCAAATCCATGTCGATAATTTTCGCTGCTATAATTATACCCGATCAATGGCCTGCTTCATACTTGGCCCTCCCTTGTCTCTTATAAAATCCATTCTCCCAGCTTCCCTTGCTGGTAAAGTAAATACTGGTTCAGTATGATAATGAGTCTATTATGTCATTTTACCAATAAACCACATTCATACTAAGCAGTTAATTAAGAGAAGATCAATTTGATCAATTTTTCTCCATGGTTCCCTTTACAATTATGATCAATACCTCTGATGTCATGAATGTGTTTTATTACCTAGCCAGCTGTTTCATTCTAAGGTCAAATGCTGTCATCTTGAACCATTATAAGTTCTTGATAAGCATATGTTAAGCAAAATGAATGTTCTGTAAACAATGACATTATAAATTAACTCAATACAGAATCACATCATCATGACTTGAATAAAAATCCTAAAAAAAATTCATCCTAAGAAAACATGTGGCATCACATCAGCCAAGGATTTAAATAAAATTCTAAAATACATGTGGTATCACATCAGCCATGGCTTTAAATATTAATCCTTAAAAACATGTGACATCACATCAGCCATTGCTTTTAATAAAAATCCTAAAATACATGTGGCATTACATCAGCCATGGCTTTAAATATAAATCCTAAAATACATGTGGCATTACATCAGCCATGGCTTTAAATATAAATCCTAAAATACATGTGGCATCACATCAGCCAAGGATTTAAATATTAATCCTTAAAAACATGTGACATCACATCAGCCATGGCTTTAAATATTAATCCTAATAAAACATGTGGCATCACATCAGCCAAGGATTTAAATATTAATCCTTAAAAACATGTGACATCACATCAGCCATTGCTTTTAATAAAAATCCTAAAATACATGTGGTATCACATCAGCCATGGCTTTAAATATTAATCCTTAAATACATGTGGCATTACATCAGCCATGGCTTTTAATAAAAATCCTAAGAAAACATGTGGCATCACATCAGCCAAGGATTTAAATATTAATCCTTAAAAACATGTGACATCACATCAGCCATGGCTTTAAATATTAATCCTAATAAAACATGTGGCATCACATCAGCCATGATTTTAAATACAAATCCTTAAATACAGAATCACACCAGTCACAACTTTAACAAATTCTCAATCAGACATGGTATCACATCAGTCATAACTCTCAATACCTCCCTTTGATTATATAAACTTATGCATCATTTTAAGTAAAACCCATAAAGATCATGACAATTAAAGTCAGGATTTTTTGTTCTAAATTTTAGAATCATACTATCCTAAAATGTTTAAAAAAAAAAAAATTAAAACAAAATCAATACCAGAATTACAGGTCTTAAGCTTCAAGTGAATTTCTTCGACAGTCTTGCATGCAAAAAACTTTAACCAGCAAATTTCACAGAGGGCTTTAGTTTAGTCAAAACCCATGCTGAAGTTAAGAACCGCCGACAGGGACAAACACTATGATCCCAAATACATGAGTGGTTAACTGCATGAAGTGTTATGCTAACACAACCATGGACAACACTAACACACAGGTGAGTATTTTAACCCCTATTCCTGCATTAAAACTGCCCAAGTAGGTATAACAGAGAAGAAAAACATGTACTGATGGAAAAAAAATCATGGGAGCATGTATGTTTGTTGCACGTTTTTTAATGTTTTTCACTGGGAGCCATGTAAAAACAACTTACTACTGTGACAGCCTAAGCTTCATTATGAAAACTTGGCTGTTATAGCATTAGCAGGTGAAAAGCATAGGACAAATCTAATTTCTTTGTACATAAAAAACAAATGATTTAATGATAAAGGAAATACCAAATTAGACATATACCATTATGCAAGAACTGCACTAATGCACTTTTTTGTGAATTAACATGAGCAGAAGCCCTTGGACATTTGAAATCTCTTGCTCTGTTGGCTTGAACTTAAAATGTGTCATTATGCCTCTGCAAACATTAGTGTACCAAAAAAGGTGCATGACCTCTCCCTCTATCATTCTAGGAATAGTCAAGCTAATTATCAACCTAGTGATCAATCAGAATAATAGATAATTTTTCAATTTTCAGCTCTAGTGGTCTGTAAAAGGAACCAAACAGAGTAAATATAAAATGTCCTACAACAGGCATTCTTAACTTTAATAATTTTTATACATATTTCTCGATAACAGATATTAACCCCTCTATTTTTACTTATTAATTGTCTTTACAAGTTCTCAAAGAAAACTATGAATCACTGCCATTGTTGACAATTATTTATCATAGGTGCAATATAAAATATTCATTTACATGATTGTTTTCATTGCACTTCATATTTTCTTATGCAGTCATGTGTGTTAGCATCAGATTTGTGTTCCAGATGTTTCTGGTTCCATCCTCAGGTGAGGAGAAATTTCTAAATGACTACTGATCTCAGACATTGGACATCGAGTGTGATGATCATCACTCATTCAGAAATTATAAAAAAAGATATGTTTATGCCAAAACCCTTGAAATACTATGAGTGATAAAGACATACAAATGAATTAGTCAACATAGGGCCCCTGTGTCCGCCACATTTCAGGGCAATTTATAGGATAGAGGGTTTTTACATTTTTTCTGTGTCCACCCTGCTCAGTCAATAGAGTAATTTAATTTTGGATGCCAAGTTGGTAAGGAACATGTCCAACTCAGTGTGGCAGTGTTGGGGGAGGGGAGATTGGAGAGTTTTACAATTGACATTGATTATTATGCACATCCATGCAGTCTAACCAGTCTCTATACTGTTGGTTACTTAATTCTTATACTTTGATAAAAAAGTCCCTAAAATATAAACTCTTACCTATATTTAAAGCAGGGTTACGTGCAGATCTCAAAGTCCATAAGGTAAGGAGTTCAATTTCAAACTACAGACTTAACAATTACTATGATCTCACAGACTGTATTTAAATTAAACAGTCACAGATTGTTATCAAACTTGGCAGTAAAATCAACTCTCAGCACAAACTATCTTTGAACAAATATATTCAATATCAATTTTCTAGGAATTCAAAAAAGTTTTCCTGTAAGGGAGAAATTAAGTAAAAGAAAACAACTAGCTAATCATAAAAGACTCAAGCGATTTTCCTGTCTTTAGCTGATCGATGAAGAAAAACATGTAATGGAATAAATAACTAGAAATTCACGAAATAAATAATAAAATCTTGCAACAAATGAAATATAATTTGCATAATTAGACTTTCATTTCCCCCGCTAGACAGACAAGAACAGAATCAATCTTCTTACACAATCTTCACAATGGATGAGTGCAGAAATAAGATGCAATTTCAGAAAATGATTCTTAACTACGTAATTTTTTCTGAATATTAAGACAAAAGTTTTGAATGTGCGCACTGGTGCTTTAAAATATCTTCTTAGCATAGGACTCTGAATTTTCTAGTCTTTGCACAATTGCTGTAAATTGGATCAGTCTAATTTCCAATTTGGAATTGTTCTTGTTAATTAATTAATTCGCTTAATTTTGATATCCAATCGCTTAAATTAAAAAGAATGGTCAGGCTGGCATATATCTATATAATTGGTTGCATGGGCAAATATTTCAATTATCGCAGCTAGTTTTTAAAGGGTTCCCACAGTGGAACACTTAAGAGCAAGTTTAGTCTTATATGACCATAAGTTAAACATCACATTTATGTTAACTTTATGATGAAAGTCAGGTTACTGCGAGTATTTTATTTTTAAAATCTTTATTCAATCTATTCAATATATTCAATTAATTCTTTGTAAATGCACAATAAAACAGGTTGGAAGTTGGGCTGTAAATGAATTTGAAACATGATACAGTAAGACATTTCAATGCTATCTTAAACAGCAATAAAGATGATAGACCCTCAGTATTTGAAATGCTAGAATATTAAAAATATTGTAACATATTTCACTAGAAACATTGTTGCAACATTTAAATATTAATGTACATAATCTTTGAAAGCTGTGTTATTTACCTTTTAAAATTTCCACATCATATCCTCCATGTAAAACCTTCACTTTACCCTAGATATTACACTTCAAATTATAGCCGCTATTCAATTCTATACAATAGATATCAAATTTTATTTCTGTACGTAAGTTAAGTAAAGTTAAACATCGTGTGACGTATTTAGTACTGAATCACGATCATAACTAGCTCGAACAAAAGAAAGTAGATAGAACTACTTTCAAGTCGACAAAATAGGATTAAAATAACTCCCCCAACTTTTTGTGTATCCGTGTTTCTAAATAAACATATATGTCATATTTTCATAGGTAGTCAAGCTTAAAATTGAGATAAAAATAGGTTTGTTACAAATATACCTGAAGGCGCTTCATTTGTTATAAATCAACATGATAATAATCATTACGCTTATTTTCTACTGAATTTGTTACATAAACTTGCAATTCTGAAACAGATTATAATCCAGCAGTTTAAATCTTCTTTTTCTGCCTTTTCCCATTTGACAAAACTGTTGAAAAACCCCAATTTAATCTTGAAAATTCCTAAAAATTGTGAACATTTCTCCTACCCAGCTCAAGTTTTTAGACATCTAATTGGTTATGTTTTTTAATAGAAAACAATTCTTTAATCACAGTTATAAAGTGTATTAATCAAAGTTTGTATTCAAGTTATCAAATCAAAATAATGTAAATTAAAAGCCCATTAATATGCCCCAAAAAGGTGTTTCTCAAAAGCTTTTTATTTTTGGTATCCACAATAAATTCTCATTGGCTAATTACTTGAACTATCTTTTGCTTCTGTTGCTTTTTTTGCAGGTGGTACAATTATAGTATTTAAGTATTTTGTATGGAAGTCAAAATACCACTTTGTTTACATTTTGCTACATTTATGACAAAATATTTCGCATTTTGTGCTACTTTCTTCATAAGATAAATGTCTAAAATGCTCTAAAACTATTATTTCAACATTAGAAACTTATGTTTCCTCTTTCTAAAGAAGGAAAATATAATTCATTTCTGAGGCATAATGTCTTTTATCTGTTCTGAATATTTGATCATGTTATCTTAATTAAAATCATACCTTAATACCTAACCTAGTAAATTTCCAGTTAGCGGTTTGACAAAGTGTGCATACTCAATTGCTTAAACTTCTGAAAATAGTAGTTGAATATTCTATTTGGGAGTTTTTTTATTGTTTTCTGAATTATATATAATTCATGTACATTAAATAACTGGGACAGTCTGACCTGAAAGGACTGTTAGAGAGTCTGACATAACTCTGAACCACTGGCCTGCATGCTCTACTTTACTGTTCTGCAGACATTTAATATGGATGAACAGTTCCAAAATTACACCAGGGATAGTCCATTATACAAATATAGCATAGTATTAGTACAAATTCACCCAAAGAGAATAAAATATAAATCAATCCTTGGTGCTAAGTTTCCCAGTACTAGTGAAGCTATCATAAATATGTCTTCCAGGCTAGAAGCTTTTCCTTACTTCACACAACCTATAGATCTCTACAAGTGTATCATGTTTTATAGCACCATATTCCAGTAGTTCAGATATAAAACAGAAATCAATAAAAGACAGTTACTGAAGCATCATTGATCAGCGCAGTAGGCAAATAACTTGCCATTGTGGCTCACAGAGAAACAACAAATATTCCATGTAGGGTATTCCATTTTCTCTCTGTAAGCATCAAAGTATTCCCAACAGAATGAATACACTGTTACTGCAGATATCTCTAAACATAAAATCAAAACATTCTGCACATAAGAAACAAATGGTAACTGCAGATATCTGTAAACATTAAACCTAAACATTCTGCACATAAGAAACAACTAGTAACTGCAGATATCTTTAAACATAAAACCAAAACATTCTGCACATAAGAAACAACTAGTAACTGCAGATATCTGTAAACATTAAACCAATACATTCTGCACATAAGAAACAACTAGTAACTGCAGATATCTGTAAACATTAAACCAAAACATTCTGCACATAAGAAACAAATAGTAACTGCAGATATCTGTAAACATTAAACCAAAACATTCTGCACATAAGAAACAACTAGTAACTGCAGATATCTGTAAACATAAAACCAAAACATTCTGCACATAAGAAACAACTAGTAACTGCAGATATCTGTAAACATAAAACCAAAACATTCTGCACATAAGAAACAACTAGTAACTGCAGATATCTGTAAACATTAAACCAAAACATTCTGCACATAAGAAACAAATAGTAACTGCAGATATCTGTAAACATTAAACCAAAACATTCTGCACATAAGAAACAACTAGTAACTGCAGATATCTTTAAACATAAAACCAAAACATTCTGCACATAAGAAACAACTAGTAACTGCAGATATCTGTAAACATTAACCCATTACTTCATGAGCATTTTGTGAAAAATGGCTGTTTTCATTGAAAAGTCTCCCGTTACAAGTTCAAATTGCTATAATACTATAAAAACTGCTTCAACACTAATCAAACTTGGCACAAATGTTGACTGGACCATTGCCCTTGCAACAACATGCTAAGGCTTAAATTTTCTGTTACCATGGCAACGAGGGGACATCTCAAAATTGCCAAAAATCACTATTTTGCGTTGATTTTTTCCATCAAAATTGATTTCAAAGTGCTGCAACTTCTCAATGGATTGAGATAGAGTCAAATGCTTTTCAGCGTTGGCTACACGTTACCTTATGATCAATCTGGGGTCATTTACAGCCTCTCCCAAGTCCAAACTTTTCTTGGCGATGAGGGGGACTCCGCCCCCCTTCAAACCCCCCCAATGTGCCCCCTTCTGGCAACCCCCTGATGTATCTTTTGGTTGGGGGGCCGCGCCGAAAAAGAGGTCACTTTTTTTAACAACATTTCTCAAACAAAAACAAGTGTTTGGGGCCTAAATAAGGCATTTTTTCATCATTTGAAACAACATAAAGGGTGGGGGGGGTTGAAAAAGGCATTAAAAGGCGTGTATATGAAGTAATGGGTTAAACCAAAACATTCTGCACATAAGACACAAATAGTAACTGCAGATATCTGTAAACATGAAATCAAAACATTCTGCACGTAAGAAACGAATAGTAACTGCAGATATCTGTAAACATAAAACCAAAACATTCTGCACATAAGAAACAACTAGTAACTGCAGATATCTGTAAACATTAAACCAAAACATTCTGCACATATTAAACAAATGGTAACTGCAGATATCTCTTAACATATAATCAAAACACTGAAAGAATAAATGGCAATGACCATTAAATCCAAACATTCTGTACAGAAGGAATAAGTTGTAACTGCAGATATATCTGTACAAGTATATCAAAGTATATCATACAGAATTAAGATACAATTTTTTCATTTAAAAGCATCAATGTTTTGCCTACAGAAATTGTAATTGCTCACATGCAAATATCTTAACATAAAATGAAAACATTTCACACAGAATTTAAGGTGCAAATTCGTGCTCAAGTTATTCATACAGAAGGAACAAATTGTAGCTTCAGATATCTCAAACCAAGTATCAAAGTATTCCCTACAAATGGAACAAATAGTAACTGTATGATAAAAGTATTCAATATAAGATATTAGAAGCCTAATTGTAAGTGTAGAATTCTCGATTGAATCATTAAAATATTACTGAATGAGGAAAGAAATAACAAGAGCTGTCAGAAGGACAGCGCGCTCGACTTTTTTAGTGCTTGCCTATAAAACAAAACTTTGACAGTTAAGGGCACACAAGACTTTAACTAGGAATTTCTAAGTACAAATCAAGAAACATTTTCACAGAGTTATCTTCTCTTGCTTACAGATAGGTCTCATGATGGCACATAAGAACTCCAACTTCCAAAGTAATATCTCAAATGGTTAAGTCAACAAGTGGACAAGAATGAAAATTTTAACTGAGTTTCTAAGTCAAAAAGGGCCATAATTCAAATAAAATCCTTAACAGAATTACCTTCTCCTGCCCATGTTTTGGGACCATGATGGTAAACAAGTATTCCAACTTTCAATTTAATATCTCAACCAGTTCAGTCAAAAAGTTGACTGGTACAAAAAAGTTAACCAAGATTCTAAGTCGATAAAAGGCCTTAATTTTTAAAACAAATCCCTGACAGAGTTACCTTCTCTTGCGTACAGATGGGGGTAATGATGTGAAATAGCATTAAAAGTTTCAAAGCAATATCTCAAAGGGTTAAGGCAATAAGTGGATTTTACCCATATTCAATGTATTTTCTAAGTCAAAAAGGGGCATAATTCTGTCAAAAACCTTGACAGAGTTATGTCCTCTTGTCTGTTGATGAAGGTCGTTATGGTAAACAAGTATGGTCAGTTTCAAAGCAATACCTCCAATGGTTTTGAAATAAAGTGAGGTGGTACAAAAAACTTAACCAAGCTCAATACACTTTCTAAGTCAAAAAAGGGCCATAATTCTGTCAAAAACCTTGACAGAGTTATGTACTCCTGTCTGTAGATGGAGGTTATGATGGTGAACAAGTATGGTAAGTTTCAAAGCCATACTTGTAATACTTCTGAAATAAAGTGGGGTGGTACGAAAAACTTAACCAAGGTGTGACGCCAACGCTAACGCCGACGCCGACGCCGACGCCGGGGCGAGTAGGATAGCTCCCCTTTTCATAGAAAAGTCGAGCTAAAAATTGCAAAAAGTAAAGTAATTCAAAAGATGATAAAAGTTTTCCATATAGAAGGAATACTATATCTTGTGAAGATTTCTCTATACAAAAATCTTAGTTGAAACAAATTGTTACTGTATTTTCAAAATATTCAATATAGAATGAAGATGTTAATAGTAGTAACTGAAGATTTTTGAAGGAAACAAAGAAGAAACACATTGTTACTGCTGACATCTCTATGAAAACACGAAGGCAGTCTATATTGCAGACATCTCTATGAAAACACTAAAGCAGTCTCCTTTGCAAACTTTTCTATGATCTTTGCAGACATCTCTATGAAAACACTAATGCAGTCTACACTGCAGACATCTCTATGAAAACATTAAAGCAGACTGTACACTGCAGACATCTCTATGAAAACATTAAAGCAATCTACACTGCCGACATCCTTGTGAAAACATTAAAGCAGTCTACACTGCAGACATCTCTATGAAAACATGAAAGCAGTGTACATTGCAGACATCTCTATGAAAAAATTAAAGTAGTCTACACTGCAGACATCTCTATGAAAACATTAAAGCAGTCTACACTGCAGACATCTCTA